TCTAAGATCCCCCCGGGCACGGAAGGGTGGGAGCTGCGCCCCAGAGCCGGGTCAGATCTATCCAGAGAAGCAGAGCCGGAGCTGGTACGAGATTACACGGCCCCAAGCCCACGCGGCCCGGAGCCCCAAAGGTGGTGGATCCTCGAGTGACCGCGACTAACGCTGTAGCGCCTGCATGCTTCTGCACTCGCCAGTTGGCGATCCCGAGGAGAACACCGGGGACTGCGGGGCCATGGGTGGTTTAGAAGCGCGTCTTTCCTCCAGTCGCCTCTTGTTACCCGAGACAGGGATTCCCCCGGCGCCGAGGAATTCTCAAACCCAAAGTCCCTAGGCTCCCCGCAGAGCTTTTGAGCTCTGGGTTCTGCCTCACTAACACAGAAATCCACCGAGACTTGGGGTTTGGGGATTGCTTGGGGCTTTAAATATGCACCCTCTTCCCCTTCCAAAAAAAGTTGTATGCCACCCCCACAACCCCCCCCCACTTTCGAAATTCATTTACCTCATCGCAGTTGGTCAAATTTTCCATTCAAAGAAGACAGTTTTATGCTGCCAGCGCTCCAAGCAATAAATTGAACCCTGTTGAAATTAAGTCTTGGATGCGACAACTCCCAGCGAAGCAGACTTGGTCCAATAGAGACTGTTTTCAAGACAGCCTTGCAGTATTCAGTCTCATGGAATGTCATGGAGACTGGCTCCACCTCCCATGACATCGCTTGGAATGCCCTGCTGATATTGCATAGATCTATATTTTGGCTTGGTTGGGAACCCCCTGCCCCCAGGTGAAGGGACAAGAGAACGTTTTTGCCAACTGTGTTATGAATCCCTGTTGCTCCAACAAGAAACAGTTACCAGAGAGGAAAATTTGACTGACTTCCCACTCCTGGAAGCAGTTTTGTAGCAGCGTGTTCACCACCAACCTTCTCCGGAAAAGTGATTTCGGTTTGCCCTTTACTTGTTGGCTTAGTCCAGAGGAAAACACCTGGCACTTCCCAGGAGAGAGCCCACAGTACAGTTGTTTCCAGGTGTTGGGCTGTATGAAAAAAACAGAAAACCAAGCCAGAAATCCTACAGCAGTTTTCGTTTAAGTATTAATTATTAATATAAGCTGTCATTAGTTGTGTATCGGTTTTGTGCAAAATGCGCCAGGCACACATTCAAAAGTTCTGGTTAATAAGAAATAATGGCTTGATGAATCCGACTTCATGGCTTGATTATTTTGATACTTGCTATGAAATTCTATGCCCAGAAGAGTGCAGCATATCCAAGCAGGGTAATAGATTTCGCTTTTAAAATGAAAGCAACAATGTTTTCTTTTAATGATGGAAAGGTAAATTTGTTTCAAATTATATTTGTAGGTTATGGGTAGGTTGAAAACTTAATCACTGTGAAATAATAGTGTTTATTCCCAGCAAGATCCTGGAAACTGAGCTACTTTACAGAAGAGAAACCAGATCCCTAGAAACTGGGACAGACTCCTGAGGAAGCCAACTGCTTGCTACCTGGTCATTAGGGGGTGGGGGAGGGGGGATTATTTTTCCAACTATGTTTTAAAAAAGGGATTTTTTTTTTTACAGAGACAGAAATAATACCTATGAACATTCATTTTAAATTGATATAAGTATGTATTCCAAAAAATAATAAAACCCACCTTTAAGTACATGTACTAGGATATGACAGAGAATTCATAGCTAATTCTGTTTCTAAATTCCTTAATCTTGATTCCAAGCCAATTTGGGCATTCCAAGTGTCTGTGGTGTAAGCATTGAAAAAAAATCAACACATAGATTTAAGTTTGATTTTCATATATATATATATATATATGTACCTAAAATTTTAAGGTTATCACTGTTTTTATTTTGGTTCACTTTTATGAAGCTTACTTTAAAGTTGTGGGTTTTTTCCCCTGGTCTATCATTAGGTGTAGGTTTATTATAATCAAAGCTTGGCTTGGTAATTTACTAGATGAAAAGTTAATTTGTGTGGTGGAATCTAAGTCTACATTCCAGGATGCCCATCTGTGTGAGGCAGGTTGAGCATGTGATTGATGGCAATGCCCATGCTTGGGCTAGAGCAAGTTTGAAGCAGACTCACAGAGAAGTTATTTTGAGATGTATGCTAATCAAATCTGCTGTGCAAACCTCTTTAAATAGCCACCGAGGCCCCATGTATGTATAGTAAGCAGGGGACAGACAGCAGGTAGGAATGGGCATGGTATAGAAGCAGGCTGGCACTCTGCCTCGATTGCAGTGCTCAAAGCTAGTCATAGTCTCTTTCAGAAAAATATGCAAATGGAAAATGAATGTGGCCAGTTATGGTTTCTTGAATCTTGATTCTGTCCAGTCAGTGCAGACCCCAGACCCCAGCTTACCTTCCTGAAGGGATGCCTTGGTCTTTGTGATTGCAGTGTTTCTGACAGGATTGCTGTTTGCTCATTGTGAAATGGCTAGTGTAAACTTGGCAACTTTAACATTTTGTGGGATTGTCTTCCTCAGGGTCTCTCTCTCTCTCTCTCTCTCTCTCTCTCTCTCTCTCTCTCTCTCTCTCTCTCTCTCCCCCTTTCTCAACTTGATCAGCTAAGCCTTCAGATGTAAAGCTCCTATGTACAGTTTGCCACTTACCTATAAATGTAATTCTCACTTGCCCCCCCAGTACTTTTGTCTCTGTGTCTTTCTTTAACAATTTGTAGATACTTATGTTTTGAGATTTCAAATACAATTTAGAATAATACCATTTTTAAAAACTTGGATGTAGTCATAGACAAACGCAAAACAATCTCTGATTAATTTGGGTGCTTGAATTTCGGGTTTTCTTTTTCAAAAATAAATTAACAAAAGGTTGATTTAATATTTACAGTATGATAATTATGAGCATGTCTACAGAGGCCAAACTGGTAATATTTTAATAACTGATAAGTTAATAATTCTTTAAAAATCAGTGAGTTCTTAGAAATTAAATCACAAAAAAAAAATCTTTCTTGGGCATTTTCTACAACTTTGAAGTTAGAATTATAGGAAATAATTCTTTTAAAGATACTAATATTTGTTTTGTGTTTAAAAATAAAATACAACTCAGTGAAGTCTTTAGTCCAGATAACAGTTACTGAATATTTTTAGCAAGTTACATCCCTGATTAGCAGACTTTCTATCATTTCAGATCCAGATCAGAATGGGTCTTGGCTTTTATTTTAAAAGTAAAATGTAATATGAAGAAAGTACTTTATTGTGGATGTTAATCTTGACATTTTAATACTTCAATGAACAACTCTGTAAATTACATTACCTGTAACAAGGGAATTCATTAAAGGTTTAAAAAGAATAATTAGTAATATTGGCATTTAAATTGGAGACTATAGTCTATTTGTGATGCCATGTTTGCTTTGGAATGACTAGATACTGTAGCAGAATGCTTTGGTAGAAATCCTATTATCATTGGAAACAAAAAGGAAAGGAGTTGAAACCCCATCTCATCTTGACACTGTGAGGCCATGTTGAGACATCTGTTTTTGTTTTGAACACTTACTTATAGGTGTCAGCAGTCCCCAGTTTTAAGACATGTGTACCACAAATATTTGCCAACTGGCTTCGAGGAACTTTCCATGGATCTCTCCATGGAAAGGAAGTTGTAAATGGTACTTCATCTTCCCAGTTACCTCTCTGAAGATGTAGGCCCCTGCAGAAGTCTAAAGTGGGGGAATATATTGTTGCAATGCCAATAATCAATGTAGCATTAAATTAGAAGTTTTCATTCATTTTGAATGTTAGTGCTTGCAGCTGAAGTTTATTTAAAAGCAGAGATGGAATAATAGTCTCAGAGAGTTCTAAACCAACCTTCAAGGTGAGAATGATGTATGAAAATTCTCAAATGTCTTTTTCATGAGATTAAAAAGGGCCTCAAAGAAATAAACCTATGAAGTAACTGGGCAAGGGCTGATGAGAAATTTTTTTATTGAAGACATTGTATGCCCTTAGTTGTGTAACTATGACACATGAGTTACCTAAGTTCTGTGACTCTCTTATTTTATCTATAGCAATGTAGTGGATCTTGAGCAAAATGTTTGAAGTAATGTCTGCACAGTAGGCATTCAAGGAGTTTAAGCAAATTTCTCCCTTTCCCTCATAAGTGAATTAAATGTTAAGAGTGGTGAAAGAATGGTGTCTGTA